TACCTGTACTTTCTACTTCTAACATGTTGAACCCAAATACCTGTACTTTCTACTTCTTACATGTTGAACCCAAATACCTGTACTTTCTACTTCTTACATGTTGAACACAAATACCTGTACTTTCTACTTCTCATATGTTGAACCCAAATACCTGTACTTTCTACTTCTTACATGTTGAACACAAATACCTGTACTTTCTACTTCTTACATGTTGAACCCAAATACCTGTACTTTCTACTTCTCATATGTTGAACCCAAATACCTGTACTTTCTACTTCTTACATGTTGAACACAAATACCTGTACTTTCTACTTCTTACATGTTGAACACAAATACCTGTACTTTCTACTTCTCACATGTTGAACCCAAATACCTGTACTTTCTACTTCTCACATGTTGAACTCAAATACCTGTACTTTCTACTTCTTACATGTTGAACACAAATACCTGTACTTTCTACTTCTCATATGTTGAACCCAAATACCTGTACTTTCTACTTCTTACATGTTGAACACAAATACCTGTACTTTCTACTTCTTACATGTTGAACACAAATACCTGTACTTTCTACTTCTTACATGTTGAACACAAATACATGTACTTTCTACTTCTTACATGTTGAACTCAAATACCTGTACTTTCTACTTCTTACATGTTGAACACAAATACATGTACTTTCTACTTCTTACATGTTGAACTCAAATACCTGTACTTTCTACTTCTTACATGTTGAACACAAATACCTGTACTTTCTACTTCTTACATGTTGAACACAAATACCTGTACTTTCTACTTCTTACATGTTGAACACAAATACATGTACTTTCTACTTCTTACATGTTGAACACAAATACCTGTACTTTCTACTTCTTACATGTTGAACACAAATACCTGTACTTTCTACTTCTTACATGTTGAACACAAATACCTGTACTTTCTACTTCTTACATGTTGAACTCAAATACCTGTACTTTCTACTTCTCTCATTTTCCAAACAGCTGGTTCCTTTAGTCTGAATGTGTGTTTGGTGCGTGATCATTATTCGTTAGAGTCATTGCGTGCCTATTGATTTGAACACGATCCGTGTATCCATCATTTCCTGGTCTTCTCTAAAGAAGAGGGACCAATGGAAACGTTGTCATGTTGCCGTTGTTCAGCATGGAAACATTCATTAGCTAACAATGACATTATTGTTCTATTCATATAAAGGGAGGTCAGGTACTCTTTAAAGCAGCTGCTAGTTATGGGTACTTTTTACTGAAGTACATTTCAAAGCCTCTTTACTTTGACTTGAGTAAAGAAGTTTAGTCAGTACTTCTACTTTTACCGGAGTATTTTTAAACACCAGTATCTGTACTTCCACTTAAGTAAAGGATGTGTGTACTTCTGCCCTCTCTGACAGGTGTAAATAACATGTCCAGTTTTCCCAAGCGCTGTTTGTGTTGCTGTAGCACTCACCGCAGACACTTGTCTTTGCATTACTCTACTCCTTGTTAAGGCTGCCATGACTGCTTTCTGATGTGCTAAGAGCCGTGTTGGCTGTGTCACGGTGTTCTTGGTAAAGTGCCGTTGATCACACCAGCTAAACTTGAGAGACCAATTCCTCCGGGAGGAAGGTGAGGAAGAGATTCAGAGGGAGAGGGTCACAACAGGAAGGAAGAGAGATCCAGAAATATAGAAAGGCAGGTGTAAAAAGTGATAAGCACAGAGAGAACAATAAACTACCACACACTCGGAGGTGAGAGCAGACACTGAAGTAAAGCCCTGTAAATAAGCCCACCTGTGTTCCTGTCCACACACACAGCTCTGACTTCATGCTGCATCCGTGTGCCCAGGCTGTAAAATACAGCCAGGCGCTCATTGTACAAACTTAAGCAGTCGAGCACGAACAATTGCATCTGTGTTTCTGGCTGTTGCTCAGTCAGAGCGGCCTGGAATCACTGAATGAATGTGATTCCAGGCAGTGGCGCCGGATTCATTTCAGAAGTGGGGGGTCCAAAAAGTGCGTGTGTATGTGACATACTTGCCAACCCTCCCGATTTTCGCGGGATCGAGACTCCCGTTTTCCTCCCGGGGTCATATTTATCCCGCATTTCTCCCGATTTCTGACTTAATCTGATTTGAACATAACGCACCAAATATTACTGTTTCCACTCGGACTTCAATACAGCTACACCATTATTTGGTTTCTACGGTAACGTGTCTCTTTAGTAGCGCGAGCAAATGAAAGTCTGAGAGGGTCTTCAGGAGGAAGATAGTCAGAGAAAACAGAACAAGAATGGACAACTCAACCCTCTGCTCACTCCTTTCCTGTACATTAAACTATACAGACCAGCCCACACATCATTCCATCTCTTCTTTGTTCCTGCTACGCTCTTGTTTGACAAGCTGAATGTTGACTGGTGTTTGACTGAAGTAAGCTCTGTGAAAAGTTCCAGTTATTAACTCGGTATTTACAAAGCTGTTATCTCCACATTTGGAGAAAGTTACAAGCCGTTTGACAGCAGCACATCTGCATATTTCACAGAAGGCTCGTTTAGTGGTTTTGCAAATAATTAACCACTCTCTGTTTTTGTACCATTCTGCATTGAAGTAGGCCTACCTTCTCTTTGCCCAAATAAGCTTTTATTTGCCCGTCACAATGTCCCGACAACAAACCTCCATGCAGTCGGAACCAGCCTGTTTCGGTTCAACGATGCCGGCGGCGGCTGTTTTGACAGCCTCTGCGGCCGCAGAGCTGCTGCTGGGGTTCATCTGGCTGCGCTGGTTCTATGGTTGAAGGACCAGGCTCCGGAGGTGGTTCTATGGTTTAAGGACCAGACTCCGGAGTTGTGGATGTCAGGGATGTGACATTCAAGTTGTTGAATTTCAGCTTAGTTTGACTATATATTGTTTTCTTATGCGCCGGTTCTTCTGACATGTTTGCAAGTGTATCTATCTAGGTTAACGGCTGACACACACTGAACAACGTAACACATAACGTAAACAACGTAACAAATAAACACATCTAAGCTTTGTTATTGGTTGTAATGTACATGGATACATTTGAATGGTGTGACAATGTCCTATTTGATTGGATTAAAATGTACATATTCTTCCTGTTATGTCTGCCTGCTGTATTTTACCTAATGCAAAGTGACCTGCTCCATCGAAATCAGTCGCATTGATCCGAAGACACATTTTGAGTTGTATACACTGCTGGAAAGAGGAGATTCCTAGCTTTCTAATGATATCAGGATTGTTGTTGTTCTCCAAATATTAAGCTAAATATGTCACATTATATAATGACTGTCACCGAGTCATCATTTTGAGAAAAATGCCTTCAAAGTTTCCTCTTCTCTGGATCGATCTGATTGATTATTAGCAAATGATCAAAGTAGTAACGGAGGGAAGATATTTTCGTTTGGATTACTGGTCTGGGGGAAGCTCGCGAGTGTGTGTGTGTGTGTGTGTGTGTGTGTGTGTGTGTGTGTGTGTGTATTGTGTTTGTTTCCCGGGGAAAACCCTCACGAGAAACACCGGCTGTTGTTATGCTTGCTGTGACGTCAAGTTACTCCGTTCTCCGCTTGTAATTATGCCGAAGCTTCAAAGTTGTATTTATTATCTGAATTTGCCGAAACAAGTTTAATATTCTGAAAGCCAAGACTTTGTTTATTTGAAATCAGATGAAAACAAACTGTAACGGACCCTGCGGTGTTATCTATGATTACTATGCCTTACATTCATAATGTCAGCGGAGGGAGGGGAAGCGGCGCTGTGGAAGAGCAGAGTGGCGAGTGAGAGCTGTCATCTTCCCTTTACAAGCTTAAAAAATGCCTGTAGCTAATGAGATTGAATATAACAATACAAAATAACAAAGATATACACAGCTAGATCAGATGGCGTTCTGTAGAGGGGAATTATTGAAACGGGATTTGTACAGTGTTCCGCGGCATCCGCTGCTGTGAAAATGTGGGGCAGGGCTGTAAAGTGGGGGGGGGGGGCAATGGCCCCCTGGCCCCCCCGCTTCCGGCGCCCTTGATTCCAGGATTCCATTAAGGGCATATTTCAGATATTATTCCATATTCATAGCTACTCAACTTTCAGATTGGCTGTTAATGGAGCTGTACTTCAGTCTGATTACTTCTCTTCTGTCTACTGACATATGACTTAAGTGTCGAGTCTATAGAAAGCTTGAGCATACACTTGAGAAAGGTGAGAAGTCACATAAATAACGGTAAAGCCGTGTGTGTATTTATGACAAATCTGACTTTTTAGATAACCCCACTTGTGTGTATGCCTGTGTTTGCCCAAATGAGCAATGGGTGTTTCATTGTAATTTTAAAGCATCATTGTATCTCATTGTCTAATGAACTGTCATGCCTTAATATAATCACTGTAACAAATGAGATCATGTTTGGGATGACAGGTAGCCTCCATTTCTCACAAGTGGTTCGATTAGCACTAATGTTTCTCGAAATTAAAACCACGTTTCCATTAAACCCCTGTTGCTTCCTGACGCTATAAAGCCCTAACCCTCCAGTGTTACTTTCTTTTTTGAAGGTAACAAATAGTGTGTATTAAACACTTTGGACTCTGCTGCATTGCTTTTTGAAAGTCCCGCACTTTCTAGAAGAAGTGCAATATTAAATTGCTGGGATACCCCTTTAAAGGATGGCTGCTTTCAATGTGTACCTCTGGGGTAGCATGCAATGCATAAGGAACCTCTAATGGTGCAATGCTACATCTGTGTAATGTCTTATCAATAATCAAACAGGTAGTTCTTCCCTCTTCAAAATCAGCTGGTTACAGGCACAATTAATCTACTTTATGGTTAGCATCAAGGTAGAGTAATGACTCATTGTTGCCAAAGTCAATTTGCAATTACAAAAAGTGCATATTAAAAGTGATTATGACTTTAACAAACGTAAGCAGTCGTGCACAAATAATTGCATCTGTGTTTCTGGCTGTTGCTCAGTCAGAAATGCATGGAATCACTGCATGAATGTGATTGGTCCCACCTTGCCAGCCAGGTTTGCAGACGGGCTTGACGTTGATGTGGACCGGCACGCTGTGCAGCGCTCTCTTCTGCCCGCAGTCCCACGCCGTCACCTGGATCTCAAACTGCTGCTGCCGGTCGAAACTCAGCTTCTCCGTGTTCCTGATGTTACCTAGTGTGGAGAACAGAGGCTCAAAGTCAACTCAAATAGATTTGTTTTAATTTAAAGGTCACCTATTATGCAAAATCCACTTTTTCATATATTTTATTCAGAGGTGGGAAGTAGTGGAGTACAAATACTTCGTTACTGTACTTAAGTACATTTTTCTGGTATCAGTACTTTACTCCACGACTTATTTTTCTGACGACTTTTTACTTTGACTTCTTACATGTTGAACACAAATACCTGTACTTTCTACTTCTTACATGTTGAACCCAAATACCTGTACTTTCTACTTCTTACATGTTGAACCCAAATACCTGTACTTTCTACTTCTTACATGTTGAACACAAATACCTGTACTTTCTACTTCTTACATGTTGAACACAAATACCTGTACTTTCTACTTCTCACATGTTGAACACAAATACCTGTACTTTCTACTTCTTACATGTTGAACACAAATACCTGTACTTTCTACTACTCACATGTTGAACACAAATACCTGTACTTTCTACTTCTCACATGTTGAACACAAATACCTGTACTTTCTACTTCTTACATGTTGACACAAATACCTGTACTTTCTACTTCTTACATGTTGAACACAAATACCTGTACTTTCTACTTCTTACACGTTGAACACAAATACCTGTACTTTCTACTTCTTACATGTTGAACTCAAATACCTGTACTTTCTACTTCTTACATGTTGAACACAAATACCTGTACTTTCCACTTCTTACATGTTGAACACAAATACCTGTACTTTCTACTTCTTACATGTTGAACTCAAATACCTGTACTTTCTACTTCTTACATGTTAAACACAAATACCTGTACTTTCTACTTCTCTCATTTTCCAAACAGCTGGTTCCTTTAGTTTGAATGTGTGTTTGATGCGTGATCATTATTCTTTAGAGTCATTGCGTGCCTATTGATTTGAACACGATCCGTGTATCCATCATTTCCTGGTCTTCTCTAAAGAAGAGGGACCAATGGAAACGTTGTCATGTTGCCGTTGTTCAGCATGGAAACATTCATTAGCTAACAACGACATTATTGTTCTATTCATATAAAGGGAGGTCAGGTACTCTTTAAAACAGCTACTAGTTATGGGTACTTTTTACTGAAGTACATTTCAAAGCCTCTTTACTTTGACTTGAGTAAAGAAGTTTAGTCAGTACTTCTACTTTCACCGGAGTATTTTTAAACACGAGTATCTGTACTTCTACTTGATTAAAGGATGTGTGTACTTTTGCCATCTCTGCTTGTATACATCAACATGTGTCCCCTCTTCTTCGTGTCTCTTCTACATCAACATGTGTCCCCACTTGTTCACGTCTCTTCTACATCAACATGTGTCCCCTCTTCTTCATATCTCTTCTTCATCAACATGTGTCCCCACTTGTTCACGTCTCTTCTACATCAACATGTGTCCCCTCTTCTTCATGTCTCTTCTACATCAACATGTGTCCCCTCTTCTTCATATCTCTTCTACATCAACATGTGTCCCCTCTTCTTTATGTCTCTTCTACATCAACATGTGTCCCCTCTTCTTCATATCTCTTCTTCATCAACATGTGTCCCCTCTTCTTCATGTCTCTTCTACATCAACATGTGTCCCCTCTTCTTCATGTCTCTTCTTCATCAACATGTGTCCCCTCTTCTTCATGTCTCTTCTACATCAACATGTGTCCCCTCTTCTCCATGTCTCTTCTACATCAACATGTGTCCCCTCTTCTTCATGTCTCTTCTACATCAACATGTGTCCCCTCTTCTTCGTGTCTCTTCTACATCAACATGTGTCCCCTCTGTGGAAAGAGACTCTGAAAGTTTCAGGAACAAAGATTCTCTCTCTTTTTGATCCATTTCTATAAAAACCTGTCTGAAAATGAGCTGATCAGATTTTGGCCACTTTATGATGTCATAACGATGTTTTGTCTTGTGTAACCATTAGCCAATCAGCAACCAAGGTAACCCCCCCCCCCCCCCTTATCACCTGAATCTCCTCCTAGAGCACCATTGAGTTCTTTGTAACCAAATGTCTCTCAGAGGGGCGTGGGGAGGGGCTCCTTATTTTCATCTGAAGTAACAGACAGAGAATCAGCACTTTGGAAACAGGACTGAAACAGAGGGGATTATGAGTAATGCTGCAATGATCTGTTTGGTGTTTCAGCCAATCAGAGACATGTTTGTATATATCTGAGATCTATAATAAAGTAATGAAAAACACTATAATAGGGGACCTTTAAAAGTGTTCATTTATTGTCGACAGTCATCGTTGTGTCAAACTGCCTCCAAACGAAGCAGTTCTTCGGTTCAGTTATCTCTACACCTGAAATTAATTTAGGCAATTAAGGTGAATATGATTAGTCTCATTAAAGGGGGGTGGGAGGGTACTTATCTGAGGCACTTTTTTTCACAGAAGACAGTAGAAAAAGCGCAGGTGCACATAATGATGAAATCTAGCTAGCTGCTTCAGTTTCAGAAGTAACTCCTTTCTGGCTGAGTTAGGAGACGTTTTATAATCCGTTAGCATATATTAAAACATTGACAGTCTTTCAGGCATATTAATTTGATGGATATACATATTCTATACTCCATATGTTATTTATTGTGTTGTTTTGACTCTAAAATACATTCCCTTAAGTCTGGAATAAGGTCATAAGTACAGAACTTTATTTGCATAGTGCAGTCAAAGTTAGGAGAAGTAGTTCAGGAAGGTCATTAGAAAAAAATCGACACTTTATTTCTGTAATAAATACCATAAACTTAGATCAGGTGATGAGAAATAGTGTGTTACTGTTAGCAGAAGTTTGGAGAGAGTCGTAATAGAGTCATACAACGGATGCGTATAGGCTCTTACAGCTAAACAAGTTTTATATTTGATTGCAGTCATAAGCAATGAGCACCAGATATGATTCCATATTCATAGCTACTCAACTTCCAGATTGGCCGTTAATGGAGCTGTACTTCAGTCTGATGACTTCTCTTCTGTCTACTGACATTTGACTTAAGTGTCGAGTCTATAGAAAGCTTGAGCATACACTTGAGAAAGGTGAGAAGTCACTTAAATAACGGTGAAGCCGTGTGTGTATTTATGACAAATCTGACTTTTTAGATAACCCTACTTGTGTGTATGCCTGTGTTTGCCCAAATGAGCAATGGGTGTTTCATTGTAATTTTAAAGCATCATTGTATCTCATTGTCTAATGAACTGTCATGCCTTAATATAATCACTGTAACAAATGAGATCATGTTTGGGATGACAGGGAGCCTCCATTTCTCACAAGTGGTTCGATTAGCACTAATGTTTCTCGAAATTAAAATCACGTTTCCATTAAACCCCTGTTGCTTCCTGACGCTATAAAGCCCTCACCTCCACAGTGTTACTTTCTTTTTTGAAGGTAACAAATAGTGTGTATTAAAAGCAGTGTTGGGACTAACTGTTACTGTAACGCCGTTACTTTTGGCAGTAACTATTACTCTAACGCATTACTTTTTAAATTCAGTAACTCAGTTACCGTTACTACATGGTGCGTTACTCCGTTAGTTTTTTTTATATAGTCAACAGCCAGGCGAACAGAGATGAGAACTGTACTTAAGTACAGTACTTGAGTAAATGTACTTAGATACTTCCTGTGTCACATGCGGAGACGGGCTGTGGGCGTGTTTGTGTTGTTTACTAACAAGACTATCATGGCGGCGGTGGCGGAGCTCAAGTCTAGTTTCTCCACCTGGAGATATTCTCACTATTTCACTTTTGTCGAGCACAAAGAAAAGAACGTTTTAGTTAAATGTAAGTTGTGTCCTGGCGGGTCAAAGATCCTATCTACTGCCCAAACCAGTCATTCAAATCTCTTAAAACATCTGCAAAAACAACATGCTGGGACGAAGCTAGTAGCTAAGACCACAGAGACTCAGCCGACGCCACTCCACCTCCACCTAAGCAACAGCGGCTGGATTTTAACCAAGGGACTGCTAGCCAGGGAAAAGTCGATAAAGCCATTGCACGGTATGTTGTAGAACACATGCAGGCTATTGCTACAGTGGAGTCACCCGCTTTCAGGGAGCTAGTTAGCATGATAGCATGTCCGGGTGGCACACGGCATATGGGACGGAAATCTTTTTCCAACTACCTGGAGAAAGAATATACAAAAATGGAAAGCCAGCTAATATCGAAGCAATCCAGATTGCATATAATGCATGTCAAGTTGATCAACAGATTGTATTATTCTCCAATGCAATAACAGTACTGAAATGAAGGCTAAGGGCATTAATGGGAACCCTCTTGTAAAGTAACTAAAACGTTACTTGCCACAGTAACGCATTACTTTTGGGTATAGGTAACTAGTGAAGTAACGGAGTTACTTTTGAAATGAAGTAACTACTAATGTAACTAGTTACTGGTTTTCAGTAGGCAAGGCAAGGCAAGGCAAGGCAAGTTTATTTATATAGCACTTTTCAACACAAGGCAATTCAAAGTGCTTTACAAAAAATGAAAGAGATTAAGAAAATGGCATTTAAAATCAGTCATTAAAAAGAAAAGCTAATAAAATAAACATTAAAAGAAAAAATACATGGATAAAAGTTACAGTGCAGTCAATTAAACATTAAAAGAAAAAAAAAGTACATGGATAAAAGTTACAGTGCAGTCTAAGATATGAATAGTTCAATTAAAAGCAGCGACAAAAAGAAAAGTCTTCAGCCTGGATTTAAAAGTAGTCAGAGTTGCAGCGGACCTGCAGGTTTCTGGGAGTTTGTTCCAGATATTTGGAGCATAATAACTGAACGCTGCTTCTCCATGTTTAGTTCTGACTCTGGGGACAGAAAGCTGACCAGTCCCTGAAGACCTGAGAGATCTGGATGGTTCATAATTTAGCAGGAGGTCAGAAATGTATTTTGGGCCTAAACCATTCAGTGCTTTATAAACCAGCAGCAGTATTTTGAAATGTATTCTTTGACACACAGGAAGCCAGTGTAAAGACTTCAGAACTGGAGTGATGTGA